TTAAATTTTGTTGTGTACTAAACAATAACCAGAATATAAAGAAATAAAGGAAATGAGAGAATATGTTTGATTACAAAAATCAAACTCGAAATAAAAATAAATAAATAAAAACAGATTTTATTTTGTTACAAAAACAAAATAAAAATCTGATTTAAATAAATAATAATAACACTAAAAAATAAATTAAATCACTTACTTGATTTAATTTGTTTGAATTATAATTTGATCAAGTCCAGTGTTTGACACTGTGTCCTTAAGACAGATTCGTCCTCTCCACGATGCTTTCAGAATTTGGACGTCTATCTCCCAAGATAAACTGATCTACTACAAATAATAGCAGCACTACAAATTGTTTGCCTAACGAACACACTAAGTGTTTATACTCTCTCTGACAAGAAAATAATGCAGCAAAATGAAGAAGATGTTTGCAGAATTATGAAGGATGAAAATTAGAGTTATCAAATCCAAATGAGGGCTGTCCTATTTATAGATGTAATAGTGGCTGTAGGTTTTGAATTGAATAGGTATGAAACCTGTTGGTTTTGAATTCAAATAGAGTTGAATCCGTTAGATTACAACCAGTTTAATTCCGGTTTAAAACCAGGAAGGGCCATGTTTGGCTGTAATTAAATTCAAATGTTTTTGACCCAAAAAGATTAATATTGGGCAGAACAAGCCCAACCCAACCACACACCACGCACCCGCGCCCAAGCTCAGGCCAGCCCGCCCGGACGGCAGCGCGGGTGTGATTTTTGGGTTCAATGGGTCTAACCCATTTTGCCCATAATCTCTTCCTCTAAAACACTTGAGTACCCCTTGGGGCACACCCCAAGTACCAAACCCAAACTTTATAAACTCATTCAAAACTTTCCACCAAATCAATGTGGGACAAGCCATTTTACAACCTTAAGGAATTTCTACCAAAACTCTATTTCCATGGAGCACACTTTGGCTTCAATTTCCCATTCACTCGGTAATGGTTTTGAGCAACCAAATATACCACGTGAATCACAACGCGGCATAGAACGTGTTACCACTTTGACCCGTGAAAATCGACGCATAGGGCCTACCTAAAAAATAGACCGAACTTAAGATAAAATTCTGATTTTACCTAGAATTTATAACTATTTCCAACACTGAAGTGGTAGTGTTGTAGGTGGCAACAAAGATAGTGGTGGTGATGGTCAGAGGTAGAGGTGGTGCTAGGTTATGATTTCAAAGGTTACATTTGAAGGTTATGAATAAGATTAAGATCAAAACTTTACATTATAATAAAACAAATATTGAGAGACGGGAGTCTAAAAAGGTTGGTTAAATTACACTGACGCCTCTTAAGGTTTCTGTTTAATAAAGATCCTTCTCATATTTGAAAAATTATATTTATCTCATTGTCAGATTAAAATGACATATTTTTTCTTTACCCTTTATATATATAAAATAATAAAATAATGTGGATATTTTGTTCATGTCATTTTAAAGGAAATAACAATCATTTTCTTTGGTTTAATTCACACAAAAAATTGAGTTTTTTTAAAAAATTTTTTTACTGAATTTTTAAAAATATTTTAAGCAATTTTTTGTTTTTTTATTTTTTAGATACACCTAATCTAGATATACTTAAGAAGTATAATATTTTGGATTTTTTTTTTTAAAATTCACCAAATACAAAAAAATAAAAAATATATAAAAATTCAATACATTATCTTATTTTGTTATATTGAATGAATCTTTTTTAATTTTTTTTTGGTACAAATTTTTTATTTTTTAAACATATCTAGATTAAATTGATCTAATCTAGATATAATGGTGGAAACAAAAATGAAAAATTATATTCATATATAAAATATCAAAAAAATATTGTAATAGTGATATTGTTGTAAATATAAATCATGTTTACGAGTGTTTTGTTTTAAACTGAAAGGTTACCATTAAGTTATATCATTGTGTTTGAAAATTTTAAATAAAATTTATGTTTGCATGTCATCATTCAATAAGAATATGTTTAGGTAGAATTTAATGATGAAAAGTTATAGAATGTAATCATGATGACTAGAAAAAGAAATGATAAAAAAGGACAAAATGGTCATTTAAAAAATTTTATGACATGACATCAACAATTTAGGAGACAATTTGTAATGAGATTACAAATTTTAAGGAAGGGAACGTAATTTTTTAAATGCGGGAGAAAAATCTGTATTAAATAAAAACCTCAGGGATATCATTGTAATTTACCCAAAAAAGTTTGGTAAGGGTGAGTAATCAATGAGAGCTTCTATTTACACACACATAAATCTCTCTATGCACATCATTCTTAGTACACACATATAAAAAAATTAAACTTAATTTGTTTTACTCACTGCACACACCTATTTTCCAAATATACCCTCAAAGCCAAATTGTGCACATACACACACACACACACATTGTGCACACACACATAGACATTGCAGCGGCTCCCCATTCCGTCTCTCTCACACACACCCATCTCTCACTCTCACAGTGTGTACCGTCCGTCCCCCACCTCCATTGAAGACCTCCTCATTGAAGAAGTGCCATTGAAGAGCAGTGAAGAAAACTCTCTGTCCATTACTGTCCCTCACATTTGGAGATTTGGGTTAGTTTATTGATCTTAAAATCCTCATTTGTATGTCATTTGTACTTTGGGGTTTGTTTGAACCATTTTTCGATCGAAGAAATAGCCCACTGTCATGGATGATTTTGTGCTTCATTCGGAACTGGTTTTCCGAAATGTATTGTTTTTGCCGGAAATCAAGCTTTGAAATATGCCCAATAAATCGACAGTCGACTGCCGAAATTTTGAAGTTCATTCGGCATTCAACTTCCGAACAGTCAACTGCCGAAATTTTGAAGTTCATTCGGCATACAACTTCCGAAATTTGTTAACTAGTTCGACCCTGGTTTTTCGAACAACGCTGGGAAAAAAAATGGAGCAAAACTCACCTTTCCTTGGTTACCTTTCTCATAAACAGTTAGCTGCTTCTCAAAATCTGAATTTTCAGAAGGTAAATCTTCCATAACAATGAGTGAGGATGAGATTTAGTGTGTAAACTAATGAAAAATGGAATGAAGAATGAGGAAGGAAGAATGAGGAAGACAGCTTGTGGAAGGAGTGTGGAGCTTGTGCAAGGAGTGTACACTAATGAAGAGTGGAGTAACTTTGGAGCTTTGCTATGGAGTAACGTGTGGGTGTGTGGATCATTTAGCAAAATGAGGAAGCAGAGGCATTGCAACGTGTGTGTGTATTGAGAGGATGTGTGTTTATTTGAATTGTGTGAGATGTCTATAATGGTAATTTTATTTAGTGATAAAATTGTAATAAAAATAAAATTCATTAAGTGTGTGCAAAGAGTGGAATTGGTGTGTGAAAATAGAGGCTCCCGTAATCAATAAATTTTAGGGGTGTTTGAGAATTAGATATTTTAATTTTCTTATAAAAAAAAATATAAAAAAAATAGAGAAAATGGTTTAACACCATACCTTTAAATACAACTTGATTCAGACCCAGATTCGACTTCAGGTCCATTTGAGCTTCGATGGTTGGATTTGAGTCCTCCGATTTACTTCGAAGAAAAAAATTCTCAAATCTAGTTCAAGACTTTAGTTTTGGTGCAACTTAGGGTTCGTTTGGGATGTAGATTTGCTTTTTAACTATTTTAATTTGTGACTAAAAAATTTTGTTTGTGATAGATTTTTTTGACTTTTGTAAGAAGAAAATGAAATAATTATGAATTGAATATGACATTTTATTATACTTGATTAAAATAACTTATTTTATTTTATATGACTATTTTAATCCCAATGGAGCATTCCAAATGAGCACTTAGGCCTTGTTTGACAAGTGACTTTTTTAGTCAAAAAGTCATCAAAAAAATTAAAAAATCCAATAACCTATACTAAAAAATCCAAGATTCTCATTTTTTTTTCTACTTTTTGCATATCTTTTTGTAAAAAATCAAAAATTATTCCAAATATACTAACTTTTTTACATTATATTTTAGCCAAAAAACTAAAAAAAGCCAAACGAGGCCTTAGTTTGCAACCTTCATATCTGTGTATCACAAGATAGATGGAAGCCTTTTCTTGGATCAATTTCTTTCGATAACAAAATAGAGGAATTGCATGCTAATATTGTAGGACAAATTAACGTAATTTTCTCAAGCGGAATAAATTTTACCAAGATTAATACAATAAAATCACTTGTCAATCAGTTCTATTAATTAGATTTATTTATATACATATTTTGATTGATAAATTTATCACTATAAATTTATTCATAAAAATAAGAGAGTCTGATAAGTTTATCAAGCACTATAAATTTATTCATAAAAATAAGAGAGTCTGATAAGTTTATCAAGTGATAAATTTATTAATAGGACTAATAAGTAATAAGTTTTAAAGTAGAACCTATTAGTAATTTACTCTTATAAATTATTAAAAAAAGGAAAAGACAACAGAAGAAAATAATATAATTTTATAAATTATTAAAAAAAGGAAAAGACAACAGAAGAAAATAATATAACATAATTTTATACTTTCTTAATCATAACTTTAAAAAAAAATTCATAACCAAACACAAATGAGATCTAACTATAAGTAAAGAAAAAATTAATTATAAATAAAGAAGAAAGTTATGTAAGGGTGCATAGATAAAGAGAAATGTTTGTATATCAATAAGGCAGTGTATAGTATTACGTTTTACTAATCACAAATATATATATGTCTTTTATTATTTTTTAAATATTAATATAACTATAATAAATTCTATTATCAAAATTAATTATAATAATACAAGATGTGACGTATTCGTATACAAAAATTACTAATTTAACGGAGGTGTATAATAAAATTTTCTGGAAAAAAAAAAAAAAATCAAAACGCGGAATTTGCGTCAAACTCTACAATAAATTTGGTACTTTCCCACAATCATACCGCATACTGCGGCTACCGTACCCTCCAGTTACTTACCACTTCTATCTCCCCTCTCTCTCTCTCTCTCTACCTTCTCTCTAATTTTGGCAAATCACACCAAAAACATTGATTCCAATTAATTAATTGATTAGTTTTAATTCATTTCATTGGTAAAAACCAATTCAACACCACCACCAACAGCTCTTCGTTCTTCGATCGCGATTATCTTTGAGGTTATCTTCACCCGTAAGTTTGTCCTATTTTCTGATGATTTTTTTTTCTTATGATGCAGATCTATGCTCTTTTTTCTTTTCTTTTTTGGTTTCTAGGGGTAATTTCAATCATTTTCGTGAATGGAAATTTTGATTGTGATGTGCGCTTGTATCATTCAATAGATCGCTGATAGATTCGAATTAGATGGCTCTCAAATTTGTAGAAATAATTTGTTTTGAAAAATGAACCAAACGATCGAGATCGACACAACAGTAGATTCCGCTGCGAACATGAATCTCTCAAGGTAAATGTAAAGATTTGATTACGATTGCATGTATATTGAATTTGCATCATTAAAAGGAAGTTTGGAATGTAACACTTTTGATACGTGGTGTGCCTTGCAATTCTATTGCTTATATACCCATTATTTATTATTTTTTCTCATAAAGCAACGAAATAGAATTGGAATGACACACAGGCTAGTTGGAATTCCTGGAAGATAGGATAATTCCTCCATAAGAGCATCTCCAGTGGTTTGCCATTGGCTCTGCTATTCCTATAATTTGGCACCTGGATAAGAAAAGCGGTGCTCCAATGGTTAGATATGGCATCTGCCAAATTTGTCAAATGCTAAAGCTTGTGCCAAATTTGACAAAAGCTTTGGTAGCTGCCATATGTTTCAACTTAGGCAAAACCTTCCTCCTAGCAAAATAGATAAATTTTTGCAAATGACATCGGATCATTGGAGCACCATTGCTATAATTCTGCTATTTGTTTCCAAATTTTAGCAATGGCAATGCTATTATAGCATTTGCCATTGGATATGCTCTAAGCATAGGGGCACAAGATGCAGAATTCATATATTGGTCTTATTTGTTGGCTATTTAGCTTTTTGACTATTTTAGTCTGGCTAAAAAAGTTATGTTTGGAAAGTTGGTTTTTTTTTATTTTATTTTGTAGTTGATTTGATGGTTGTGAGAAAAAAAATAAAAATAATTATGTGTTGGATGTGACATTTTGGCCTTGTTGGGAACGTTGGTGTTTTTTTTTTTTTTGGGGGGGGGGGTAAGTGATGTGATGGTTGTAAGAGAAAAAGTGAAATGATTTTGAGTTGGATGTGACATTTTGTCTTATTGGCTATTTTAGTCTATTTTGTCTTTTAGTGAGCTATTTTAACTCAACCCTCTTCCCAAACACTCCCTTTGTCATATTGACTAGTTTAGTTTATTGTCGTTTAGTGGGCTATTTTAGCCCAATCCTCTTCCCATGTAAGTAATGTAAAGGGTTTTTAAATGTAATGATGGTGTGTACCGTGAAGAAAAGGATCAGATTTAACAGAAAATGTATTCCTGGGGAGACTAGAGATTTATGGCTAGAGTAATTGTCAAAATGGTTGGATAGATAGAGTAATTGTGTTTAGGAATCTGCCCTTAGTCTCTCATATAATGAAGGTTTTGTTAATTCTTTTTGACCAGGGGGGTGAACTTTTAATTATTTTGGTATATTCATCGGTCATGATGGTTGAATTATGTTCACAAAATACTCTGTGTAGGATATGGATAATAGGCAGTATGTGTTTCTCTTTTATTCACTTCTGAATTATATTACTACGTTTGTGCAACTAGTTCAAAAGAAGTTCTACAATTTGCTATAAAAGGTTGTATGCCCACACAGGATGTGCGAGTTTAACCACCCAAAGGTCATTTCCTAACACTAGTCCTTGTTAGAAAAATGCACATATATATATATATGAAAGGAATGGACACTTGATGGTTTTAAACAATCAGTTTAATTAGAAAATTGACCATTTGGTTTAATCACAAAATCTTATGCTTTATTGAAGAAAACTTTATGCATATTTTAAATTTTTACTAATCAAGAAAATTTATGTATTGTTTTTTGTATTTTACCAATTAGGGAGAAGCTTTAAGTGGAAATACAATTCATATAGGAAACTTATCAATCAGTTTAATTAGCAAACTTCACTAATTATTTAAACTTTATTATTTTAGTTATATTTATGGCCTTGCATTTGTAGCAATGATAGTAGAACACATGGTTTTGTATAATATATATATATATATATATTCATTACAAAAAATCCATGAACAGGATTAGCGGCTTGGAGAGTGGGGAGGAGTTTGCCTTGCCATGTGGCATTCAAAGAGGGCATAACACTCCTCTATGCAACATAATATAGATATTATGCGGCTGTATGATATCTCAAAAGAATCATTAACTCGTTGGATTTGTTCAACAATTTTGTATGTCAATTATGTGATCACCTTAGGTAGATCTTGTGAAATAATAAACTTCTATTGAAATTCTGTGTGCTATCTTGGTCCATGGTCTTAAATTTGGTCCAAAGTTGGTGAAATTATCTGTACTTGTTGACTTTCTCAATGAGTAGGAGGATAGCTGTTAAAGCTGTACAGTAGTTACTTTAAATCATGGTCCAGTTGTTCACTTTGGTCCTATGCAATAGACTGGATTTTCTGATCTTTAGACTATAAGGGCTTGGTATTTATTGAGAATTGACAAGCAAGTATATGATCTCCTAAGTGTTTTGAGTTGTTTATTGCTAAGATCAGGCTGTTATTTTGTGTTAATTACATCTAGCTTAGGGCATTTTTGGCTTTCCATTTTTATTGTTTGACAACTTCAACTGGAATGTGTGTTGGATTTGGCATCAGCATGGAAGTTATAACAATATGGCATGATTTAAGTTAAAGCAGTTTGATGAAGTTAACCCGCAGACTATAACACTTGATTCAAATTGTAAAAATAAACTATAGGTGTAATTCATTGGCTTGAGCATAACAAAACATGTACTGGGAAGAGAAATTGAGGATCTCAAGTAGCTTTTGATGGATGTTTATTGTGTAATAAAAAGCTGCAAAACTTTGAAATTTATGAATAGAAATCCTGCATGAACAGTTGTGTCCTGAAAAATACAAGAGAACATCTAGAGATGATTCACTCTGTTATCAGTATTCCCAATTTATAAAATGCCTGAATTAACAACTAGAAATGCCCCCACTCAAAATGAAAAAAGAATTTTTCTTGTTTTTTAGTGGAGTTCTATTCTCATTCTTAGGAAGGTCTGTCGCAGTTGTTCTTGACTATGAGTTCTTATAAGCTTGTTCATTTCATTGTTCATTAATAACTTGGGCTATTATAATTCTTTTGCCGGCTTCTGGCGCATGAATCCTTTTGTCCTAATGTTTGGATGTGTTACCAATGAGACCAGACAGTTAAGTGTATGACAACAGTGTCTCATGTAGTGACTCATGTGAGGAAGCTAGCTGCACATGGGGTTTTGTCATCTGTTACCTTTATTTGATACATCTGTCTGGTCAAGCAAATTTGACATATGGCTTGTCTATGATTTAATTTAATTAATTTTTTTGGTTCTTTCAAAAAAATGTAGTTTTATTATCTATCACAGCTGTAACTTGTAAGTGCCCCCACCATGCTGTTGCCTCTTTGTCATGTTAAATGAGTAAAACCTTTGCCATTTCAATTTGGGTTAATTTCACTTTTATGTCTTAAACTATCGCCATTTTTTTTATTTCATTCTTAAACTATTAATTTCATTTGTTTTGTTCCTAAAATTTCTAATTTCAGATAACGTGGTTCAATTGGAGATGGTTGTTCAAGTCTTTGACAATTAAAAGACTAATTTGATGGGCAAAAATGTCATTTTAAGTTTTGAACAAATTAAACCATCCAACCAAGCTCTCATTTTTTTTATTCACTATTTTGAAATGAGGACCAGAGAAGATGAGTGTTTGATTGTATGGTGTAAGTTGTCCAATATATTGTGAGCAAGAAAATAGGTGTTGTATGATTTAGGTTGTAAAATTGTAAAAACTACTTTTTTGCCCATTAGATTAGGTTTCTGTCATTATTTATTGGGTAAATTACACTTACACCTTTTGAGGTTTGGGTTTAATACATATCATCTTTTGACGTTTGTGAAATTACACTGACCCCTTGTCATTGTAATTATTTAGACGGAATTAATGTTGGTATCAAAAAGATATTGAATTCATGTACTCTTTTCTTGCTTTATCTATTTATTTATTTTTCAATGTAATTTCCTCTGTATTTTTAGTAGGAGTTGTTGCCTTTTATATAAGTAGGAGGTTTGTGAAATGAGACTAGTAACCACAACGGTGAAAATGTATTTTTTATAATGTCAGAGGGTGGGATGTAATAGGACTAAACCTTAGGGGTGTCAGTGTAATTTACCCTTATTTATTTGGACGGATTGTCTCCAATTCGACCATATGAATTGAAATAAAAAACACTTTAGGTTGTATTTGGTTTATAGATTTGAGGAGAGATTAGCAAAAAGAAAAGGAAAAAGGTAGATGATATATGAATGAAATATATCTACATTTCATCTATGTTTCACACATCTTTTCATTTTCCTTTTCCTTTTCCAAATCATTCCCTGAACCAAACACAGCGTTAGGTACTAAATAGATGAAATTGATACTTTATGGATGAAAGAAAAAATGATAATACTTCAAGGGATAAAAGCGAAATAAACCCTTTCAATTTTTGTGGTGAGTAATACATATTTTTTTCCTCTCTAAATTGATGTCCTCAGCCTACTTGTAGCTTGGAACTACCATGGAGCTGGTGCCAGTTAGGCTTGTAAAAATTAAACATAGTGCTTTGCTTCCTTTTTTGTAGTTCTAAGATAATGCTTATATTATAGTAGCTGTGCTGTATTGTGCTTCTTCGACAGAAGATCAATTATTTTCTAGAACTATTCCATGCAATATTCTTGGGGTTTTGAAACTTTGACCAATTTTGTACCTGTCATATTTGATTCAAACAGGTACATATATTCTACTCTGGCTGAAGTGAGTGCATAAGCTATGGCCCTTGAAGGCATAGTATCCTCTCCGCATAGAAGGACACAGAATGCGCAAAATGCATTTTCTGCATCTGCACCACCAATAAAAAAGCACTACTCAAAGGGGGATGAATTGGAAAGCTGTTCGGGGCTTGTCCAGCGGCATCGGTTTCTCCTCACGGCTCTTGTTCTCCTGGCGTGTCTCTGTACTATTTATCTCTACTTTGCCATAACTTTAGGGGCTGGTGAATCATGTTCTGGGTTGACGGGAGCTGAGAAAGCGTTGTGTCGCGTGGAGCAAGCAAAAGCAACAATGGCCAAAGGAAAATTAAAGTTTTATTAGTATATAGATGACATCGCAGAAGATGGTGGTGGTGATTCTCTTCCCCTAAGGGTTTAAATTTAATTTTAAAATTATGTTACTAGTAGATGTTAGAACCTCTCAGGAGCTATATAGCTCCTTAGTTTTTAATCATGTAAACATGAATTTCAGATGAATTTTGTTTTTGAAAACTTGTATAACAACTTCAAACAATTATCTTACTTGTGAAATCCGAAATTTTGGGTTTTTTTTTTTTTTTTTTTCCTGGAATATTTGTTACATTTATTGAGGACCATTTTGTGCTATTTGATTTTTATTTTGCTTCTTTCTTGTTCATTCTTTCTTTTTGTGGTTGGTTTGACTTATGGAGGTAATCTGATTTGGATTTTAGCATCAGCTTGAAGTCGATGATTGATGGAGCAGATCTATACCTATGGAAATAGGAAAATGGGATTGAAAATGAGAGTACGATTCTGTAAAAGTTAATCCTAATATATTTATGGGAAAGACTTCTCAAAGGGCGTGTATCATATATATTTTCTAATTAAAAAAAAAAACATAATTTTATTTTTTTTGAGTCATAACAAAAAAAAAAAAAAATTATAATCAAACCCTATATGAGATATAATCAAAGATATCATGAGTTATAATTAAAGAAAAAAACTGACCGTAACACATCCCCAACCCATCCACTGTGGATATTTAAAAAATATCACTTACCCTACCCAATGGATAAGAAAAAGAGGAGAAAACTCATGTATCTTGGTTGGGTCTCCATGGATACCCACATGGTAGGTTATCCATTGTCATCCCTATTCATAAGGATGCATTCTCTGTAGTTTTTTTTTTTTTTGGTACATGTAGTTTTATTTAGACTCACACAATTTGTAATTTGGATCCCAAATATGTTGTTTTATATCTGATGATCTGATCTTTTGTATATTTAGGTTATTAAATTGATTTACCTTTCTTTTTTCCTACTAATAAAAAAATAAAAAATAAAAAGTCAATTTGGCCGAAGTATAAAATTGATGATTCCTTATGCTAGTCTATGTCCACGTTACAAATAGGCACAATTTCAAATTCCTTTGACTTTTGTTTTTAAAATCTTTCGAATTTATCTTATTACTTTTCACTGTAAGGAAAGAATGCCGAATTTATCACATATTTTCAGTAGTAGTTCTCTGTTTTTCTTTTGCAAAATTTCTAAATATAACAAATAAATTTAGGAAAAACTACACATAAGTGGGGTTTTGAAAAAATATTTACAAATTAATAAAAAAGTGTATGAATTTAATTATTATTATTTATAAATTTTACCATTATTTTGATTTTTTTTTAAAAAAAAATACGCTAATGTGTAATTCTCCAATAAATTTATCTTTGGATTTATTTTTACAACAGCGTTACATTTACATAATTTTTTTCCTCACAAATGAGGTAGTAACAAAATTTTAAAAGTTAACCCACACTCTAACTGATAACAGTGGTGATAGATCCCACTAAAGATGGACCACTAAGCCAGCTCTAATGAGCTGGCAGTCCAGAAAATAAAAAAAATAAAAAAAACAAAGAGCAAAACATCAAATCAATTAGGGGCACAGTATTTTTAGAGCTATTTGAGCTCATTGTTTTAGTGGTCTCAAACAATTTTCAACTGATAAAGAACTTGCATTATGTCTTGTCACTTCATTTGTGGGGATTGTAAGTAAGAAAATTGTGGAAAAAATATTTTTCTTATTTTTATTTTTAAACTACTAAAAACAAATATAGAACAAGGAAACACAGTTTTAAGGCTTCTTTACACATTGTTTGTTTAATCAATTTTTTATTTAATTTTTTTGAAACATATAACATTATTATTTATAATTTGAATTTATTTGAATACGCAAATAAATTTATAGGAGGATAGTATAATTTCGTAAATTATAATAGATGGAGACATTCGAAACTGTAATATCGTAGCATATCATCATCGTATCATAATCATTATTCATATATATTGACAAATTGTTAAAAGTGTACCGTTATTCTATTTTTTTTAACCATTAATACATTTTTAATAAATTAATCTTCTCATTTTATTTTGAGAAAAAACTTATAAATCTCATCTTGAAGAATGGTTGTTCGTTTAGTCCTAATAATTTTTTTTATATACCAATTAGTACCATTAATTTTAGAAAAATAGATTTAATATATTATTTAAAATTTGAATTTACGATTATATCTTTATTTCTATTATATATATATATATATATATATATATTTTTTTTCTCTTTTGTACTAGAAATGTAAGATACACAATCTATGAAAATCAAATTCGGGATGAATTTTTAGAGAATCTTTTTTATTTGGAATGACTTGAAATGTAACATTTTAAGAGGAATACTTTTCCTAAACGTAACATTTTAAAAAATTTCTTAGTGTAACACTCCAATATAACACTCCAATATACATAAATTTTTTAGTGTACTTTTTCTAAACAAAACACTCTAATGTAACACTCTAAAAAACAGATGTGGGATTCTTCAATCCATTCCAAAAGATGTGAAAATTTTCAAATCATTCCAAAATGAATGCAAAAATTCGTTAGTAAGTTTTGGACAAATATATAATTTCAAATTGTGAATATTACATTTGGAAAAATATACTAACGAGTTTTTTTATTGTTTTTGTGTGTTATATTAAAGTGTGTCACATTAGAGTGTTATGTCTGAGAAAAGTATATTAAAATTTTTTTTTGAAGTATTACATTGTTACATTTAACACTCTAATGTAACACTCTAAAAAACAGATGTGGGATTCTTCAATCCATTCCAAAAGATGTGAAAATTTTCAAATCATTCCAAAATGAATGCAAAAATTCGTTAGTAAGTTTTGGACAAATATATAATTTCAAATTGTGAATATTACATTTGGAAAAATATACTAACGAGTTTTTTTATTGTTTTTGTGTGTGATATTAAAGTGTGTCACATTAGAGTGCTATGTCTAAGAAAAGTATATTAAGAAATTTTTTTGAAGTATTACGTTGTTACATTTAAGAAAAATATACTAAAGAGTTTTTTTGAGTGCTACATTAGAATGTGTTACATTGGAGTGTTACGTTTGAGAAAAATATACTATGGAGTTTTTTTTTTTTTTTTGGAGTGCTACGTTATTATGTTTGGGAAAAGTACTAAGGAAATTTTGTGTGTGTTGCATTGGAGTATTATATTTGGAAAAAAATATAGAATTGATTTTTTAAGTGTTTTGGTGTGTATTATATTGGAGTGTTACGTTTGGAAAAAGTACACTAAACAGTTTTTTTTTGCATGTTACATTAGGCTGTGTTACATTGGAGTGTTATGTTTTGAAAAAGTATACTAAAGAATTTTTTTAGAATGTTACGTTGTTACGTTTAGAAAAAATACATTAATAAATTTTTTTGCATGATATATTAGAGCGTGGTACAGTGGAGTGCGTTACATTGGAGTGTTGTTTTGGAAAAGCATACTAAAGAATTTTTTTGAAGTATTACATTGTGACATTTAGGAAAAATATACTAAGAATTTTTTTTATTTTTTATTTTTTTTACATTAAAGTGTGTTATAGGTATGTTTGAGAAAAATACACTAAAGAGTTTTTTTATGTGTTACATTAGAGTATGTTACATTGGAGTGTTACGTTTGGAAAAAAATACATTAAAGAGTTTTTTTGTATGTTACATTGGAGTGTGTTATATTGAAGTGTTACGTTTAAGAAAAGTATACTAAAGAGTTTTTTTGGAGTGTTACGTTGTCAAATTTGGGAATAGCGCACTAAGGAATTTTTTCGTGTGTTATTTGGAGTGTTACGTTCTTATTCGTTATGTGAGATTGATTCCAGAATGAGGGAACATTCAAAAATTTTATAGTGTGGATTGCCCAAATGTGTAATTTCATATTTGGACAAACCCATTTTTATTCTCAAAAAATTAAACTCAAATATGTAACATTTTGTATAATTTTCACTTTAATGAGACCTTTAGGTTCATAAGAAAAAAAAAAAAGACTAAACAGTTTACAAGATCACATTTTTAAATTTATTGGTGCTTCACTATTTTATTTTTAGTTTTGAGTTTAATAATTTAATTTAATTTTATGCATAATAACTTATAATTGAAAAATGTACCCATAAATCTCATGCGGAAATGTTGATCCATTTATCCCTAAGAATTTTCTTATGAACCAATTAGTCATTTTTATTTTAGAAAGTTGTATTTATTTAATTTGATACCATTTGAGTGTAAGTGAATGCCCTTTTGTGATTCATTTTTTTTATTTTCTGATTCGTTTTTGGGATGTTAATGGAAAGGTAAGGTATGGAAGATTCTTTTTAGGAGGATTGGTGGCTAAAGTGTTGGTTGTCGAGCGTGGAAATCTACATTTTTGTTAGTGTGTTATTTTGGTGTTACATTGGAGTGTTATATATGAGTGTTACATTAAAAAAAAATACATTAAGGAGTTTTTATGTGTTACAATGATTGGAGTGTTGCGTTTAAGAAATATACAAAGAAATTTTTTAGTGTTACATTGATTGGAGTGTTATGTTTGAAAAAAGTACACTAAGAATGTTATGTTGTTACGTTTGAGAAAAATACACTAAAGAGTCTTTTAGTGTGTTATATTAAAGTGTTACGTTTGAGAAAAGTACATCAAGAAATTTGTAAGTGTGTTACATAGATTTGAGTTTTACGTTTGGAAAAAATATACTAATGAGGTTTTTTTTTTTTTTTAAATGTTACATTGTTACGTTTGAGAAAAGTACATTAAGGAATTTTTTAGTGTGTTATATTGGAGCATTACGTTTGGAAAAAATACGCTAAGAAATTTTTTAGTGTTACGTTGATTGAAGTGTTACGTTTGAGAAAAATACACTAAGGAGTTTTTGTGAAATATTTTGTTGTTACGTTTGAGAAAAATATACTAAAGAGTTTTTTAATATATTATATTAGAGTGTTACAACGTATAATACACGTATATTTATACTTGATCTTTTATGAAATTTACACTAAAATGAGATTTTGGGATTCAACAAAAAAAAGAAGAAGAAAAGATTAAGCAATTCATAGGATCTGAGATTTATTGTTGCTTCAACTAAATTGGGATGAATATTAAAAGAAATTGATTTACTACTTATGGCGACTAAATGTAGTTTAGTCGCTAATTCCTTAGGCGACTATGTATCCCCGACGAATCCAGCGACCAAATTATTTAGTCGGGAATTTCTTTTGGCGAC